CAGAAGAGTATGCAAAATCACTCATTGATGTTAAATGGCGCTACACAAATTTAAGCTTCTAACACCCCGCTTATAACACGGAAGAGAGGAAGTTCACGCGCTTGTTAAAGTTACAGCTGACTCGAACATGCATGGATGGTTCAAGCTCCAGCTCTAGCGATGAAGAAATGATTATTGTTCACAGAGTAATAAGCAGCTGCATGTTCATATCACCCCTGGGCATCTTCTTCAATGTGCGCTCGCATTGACAGTTTTGCGCTTGAGCGCCTTTAAGTGCTGTTTACTGTAACTTCAGCAGCTCCGTGCACAAAAATGGCAATCTAATTGGAGAAGGTTTTGACGCAGCGCGTCAAATCAACAAAACGAGCATGAGACTTTTCTTTAAAAATAACTCTTTTGAAGCTGGCGTTTAGCGCGTTGGTGTGCACGATCATATTGACGCTCATTATTTAGTCACGAGGTGTTAAACGTTGATGGAAAACGACAGCAAAAAGAGACTCGATGTGCAGGGGCCTTTAGTCTTAAATATGCATTTTTATATTACATAAGTGCTCCTTCATCCTGCTGTATACGGTACAATAAAAAGTAGGTAACACCAGTGACAAAAATTGCTACATGTGATCATTTAAATAAATGAAAAATACTACAAACCGTTAAGCTGTATATATATGTGGTCTCGTGAATTCAATAATTAATTGAATAATGTCATTTAACTTTAAATGTTAAAAAAAGAAACTGATTTTAAAACATTTTGTCATACCAAATGTGTATGGTTCTGTAAAATTGAACAAAAACTTACACCAGGGCTAGCCCTACATTCGAGGGGCCCTACCTTGCTCTGCATAGGGGAGTACTGCATACTAAAATGCGGCTAAAATTCTACACGATGGTAATTGTTTGATTGATTAAGATGTGATGTTTCCATTCGCAGAGCAGCATTTACAGCGGATCTTTCAGTCCATCATATTGTAGTAATTATACAAACTGTAACTAAATCATTTTGACTAACGTATGTCTTTAAAAACTAAAGGCCAAACTCACACTAAGCCATCCGAACTGTGCCCAGGCCCGTTTCCCGGATCGTTCAAGAAGTGTGAGTGCTCTGATTCAGGCTCAGGCACGGTTCAGTTGGCCGGCCCTGCCCAGTTGAAAGAGGTGTACCTGAGCGCGGTTCACTTGGGCTAAGGCGCGGGTACACTTGCAGTGTGAGTTCAAAGCACGCCCGAAACTGAAGACAAGATGTGCCTTTTAAGGGACTGTTTCATATGGATTTATTATACATTCTTACCGTTTAATGAACGCAAACTTCCGTAGATTATTAAAGATGCAAACCCCTCACAGCACGACAGCTGCACCTTCAGGAATCCTCATAATTCCTGCAGCACGAGGACTTGATGATTGTTTATGAGCATCAAAAGTGGCTGGTCTGTTCAGTAAAAAATTTGACTGATTGTCACTGCATCTGAAACGACTAAAATTATATAACAATATAAAGTAATCTTCACTATGCAGAGCAACATCACATCATCGATGACGCAAGCGTGCCCAGGCCCAATTGCAATGTGTGAGTGTGGGTGTAACGGAAGCAAGCTAGTGTGTGCTGTGCAGGTAAACCTCACTCCTCTGACCTCTAAAGGTGCTCTAGCGACAGACGCTAGAGGCCATGGTCTTTAGCCTCCTTGGTAGAGCAACCGACTCCCATGTGGAAGGTTGCTGGTTCGATACCAGCTCGGATCGGGTTGGGTAGTATAGGACCGGCGGGGTTACATTGGTGCCGTGACCCGGATGGGAGTGAGGTTTAGGGGGGTGAGTGTAACAGAAGCAAGCTAGTGTGTGCTGTGCAGGTAAACCTCACTCCTCTGACCTCTAAAGGTGCTCTAGCGACAGACGCTAGAAGCCATGGTCTTTAGCCTCCTTGGTAGAGCAACCGACTCCCATGTGGAAGGTTGCTGGTTCGATACCAGCTCGGAGCGGGTTGGGTGGTATAGGACCGGTGGGGTTACACGGGCAGTCGGGGGGACAAGCGTGCTTCAGCCCGGTTAAAGGCAACTGTACATATAGTATTGTCAGCAGTACTTTCAGGGCGTACTCACACTAAGTAACTTTGCCTCTGATTAAACAAACAAACAACACACCAAAACTGTAGAGACAGGACAATCCACACAAACTGAAACCACGTCTTTAAGACGAGTAGCAAATCCGGATTTCCATTGGGTTAAAAAAGGTTCCTTACAAGTGTATTTTTGTTGCGTGTCAGCAGACCACTGTAATCCAGACGTGAGTACAGCTGCGCTCTCATAGCAGAGATTTGAAAACAAAACCTTCGTTGCAGCACATTTATAAATGCAACACTGACGACCCATATCTCCAAATAATTCTTCTTCCTCTTGTTTTAATTACAGTTGGCAACCCAACATGGCGTCTCTCTGCCATCTGGACCCTGAAACAGGTAAAATCAGTCTTCGAAGCTATCATATATATTAATGAAGTTGCACCTCATACACAATAGTGTGCGCTGATTGGTTCAGACCAAGTCTTTCTCTTGAATTAATGTTAAAAGCTCACAAGATGTCACATTGTACCTGCCAGTACAGACATCCAGTCTACACACTGGAATACACACAAGGATTTAATCGCCGTGACGTAGTTTCAATATTTCTTTTCAACCCGGAAGAGCGAATTTGCTGAAATATACGTGCCCTTATAGTGTTTTTAGCAGCGTGGGACACATATATGACTATTAACATCTCAAAAAATGTGTTTTTGTTTCGTGACCCTTTAATGGTGTCACGGTCGAATTTTCACCACGTTCTGAGGTAGAAATCATCTCAGAAATAGCTTTTAGTAAGGTTCACTCTCATTTTCTGCTGTAAACATATCACAGTTTCATGTAAGATAGATCCAGTCCACTATTCTACTGTATCACATCAGATAAAGTGAGAGTGGCAGAGAACCAGAGTCAAAAATACCACAGTACTGTTTTTTTAAGAAGAGGGGTTTTGGTTTCTTGTAAAACTCTTAGGGTGCAGCTGATCAGATAGTTGGAACAGATCTTTGAATCACACATTCTTTGCAAATCCTGTCTTGTGGACATGATTATATGCATTACTGTGGAGACATGTTAATACCCCAGACTGTAAAAGATATGGACGTAGTATCCGTGAAGTCACCCATAGGTTTCTGAACACTGCAAATGAAGCTACAAGTAGGCGCGGCCAACAGTCGACATTTTGTTCGTGCATCACCGCACCAACGCCGGGATACCAAACAAGGGCTAAGAGGCGGAGAGTGAGAAGAGATACAGACATCTGCTGGCATTTTGCTTGGACCTGGCTTAGACAGACTTTACATTGGGTGAATGCTTAATAATACTTTATTAACTGCGACTCGTTTGTGTTCTGACCACTTGTGCTTGGTTGTACACTATATCAATAAAGTGTTTAGACTTTTAAAAACAGAGCTGTAACAAATTGAGCCACCAAACATTGTTCTTATGACGTTTTTCAACAGGAGGAAAATGCGAATTACTTCCAAACACTTCACTATATAGATATAGTGTTAGTAAATGCAGTGTTAGTAAATGCAGGGCTATTGATGAAATCCAGGCATAAAACTGTTTGACAATGTTTCAGATGACTGTTATAGGGCCTACAGCTAATCAATCTGTCAGATTCTGGAGTGCTTTACAGCTCTAAAGAAAAAAAGAAACGATCTTAAATAAAACAAATACCTTTATAGAGGTGGTATATAAGTATGTAACTTCACTCGCCTGGCAAATGGAGGCATTGAGGCAACTTGAACGGTGTGTGAGCACAATTAAGTGCAAACAGCATGCCATATAATCTGATTATTGTAGAAAATAAAGGCAATTGACTGTGTAAAGAAACATTAACCAAAACAAAAATATGATGAATATGCAGAGTTCACCAGCTAATTAGCCGGAATCAGCTGAGGTGACAAGACAGCGAGCAGCGAGACCTAGCTGTCACTCAAGTAGCCACTCCCTTAATTATGCAAACTTGATATAACTTAATAAAAACGAAACTGATGAGTTATAAAAAAAAATTCACTCCCCTCACAGTTATCATGAAGGGTAATTTTAGCTATATGCGCCAAAGCCAGCTTTTGTACCACGCTGTAGGCATGTTTTTATTAGCTGTAAAAATGGCCGATTTCCTATTGCAGTCAGAAGTCAGTTGGACGTTCTGGAGCCGGCCCCCCCAAGGCGAGTCAAATTGCACTTTTAGTTACTTCCGTATTGGCATGTTTTTATTAGCTGTAATAATGGACGGTTTCCTATTGCAGTCAGAAATCACTTGGACGTTCTGGAGCCGGCCCTCCCGAGGCGAGTCGAATTGCAGTTTTAGTTACTTCCGTATTGGCTTCCCAAGGGAGAGCTGGAGGTTGCCGCTTTGTTAATACACACCTTTCAATCAATTCAATGAGCAGAGAAAACCACACTAATATTCCCACAAAGATGCCCAAGCATCATAAGAGTGGTCCAAGGTCACAAGTTGTGTATTGGAAATTTGAAACATTTTTACATACTGGGAAGGTATTTTCATTTTACTCTAACACACACCTACTACATTCAGAACATCCATAGAAACTGAAAAGTGATGTGGCAATACTTTTACCACAGCTCTCTCTGTGTATGTGTATATATGTATATATATATATATATATATATATATATATATATATATATATGTATGTATATATATATATATATATATATATATATATATATATATATGTATATGTTTTATATATATATATATATATATATATATATATATGTATGTATGTATATATATATATATATATATATATATATATATATATATATATATATATGTATATGTTTTATATATATATATATATATATATATATATATATATATATATATATATATATATATATTTCATAATTGTTATTTTTATTTATATATTTAATTTCATTGTGTTCTACTACTTCTCAAACAGAGATGGACTATGAGGAAACACATTGTGACACAGAATCTGGAAATGCAGACAGACTCGCAACAAATATTCATGGATTCTGACATTGGATCAAAACATACATACAGTGAGTCGAACACTGATTCACAGCTTCTGTCTGGGAACATAAGTGAAAGTCTGAGTAAAACAGCGCTAAAAATGATATGCTCCGAATACCACAAAAGAGAAGCCAATCCCTCTAACATCCATGAAGAACTACACCTGATCCAACGAATACTCAGGGTATGTGACCCTAGCAACTGCAAACTACCAGGCTACATTCAGAATTTAAGCATGGAATATTTCTCCCTTCATTTGTACACAGAACGCGCCATCTGCATTCTTCAGCATCATTTGAGAAGTAAGTCTCCTGTGTCCCTCTACCTTGATGGCACTGGAGGAGTTGTGTCCAAAATACCCAACCAGCCAAAGCGCGTGTTGTACTATGCGCTCGTTCTACCAGGGAAGGATGGAGCTGCACCACCCTTGCCCATTTGTGAATTGGTCTCCAATAATCACTCGGTACCAGCAATCACATACTGGCTCATGCTCTTTGAACTGCATTTGTCAAATTACACAGAACTCAACATACACCACATCGAGACTGCCTACAGCTGGGCTTTAATGCTAAGTGTGCTTCAGGCCTTCAACAAAGAGAACATCAGCTCTTATCTTGACAGAGCATATAAGTTCTGCATGGGACAAATACCATGGCATGAAATGAAGTCATATTCTGTCCTGCACATTTGCTCAGCGCAAATTTTAAAAGCTTTCAGACAAACAGTACTCAAGCAAACAGATGACAAGGTACTGGGGGACTTTGTCACATATGCTTTTGCTGGACTCCAAGATGCCACTAATATGACAGAAGCAAGAACTGTGTTCCATGCTCTATGTGTCCTGCTTACAAGCCCACAAAACACAAGCCTTGTCAAGGAAAGTCTGGCTCTTTTGGAAAGAGTGATTTCAAATGCCAAAGATGATCCACTTGAAAAAAACATGGAGCATAAAGACCGGGAAATCTATGAAGGTGAAGAAAGAAGAGATGCATTGACCATCACGGGCAGATCACCATTCTTTGCCTATTTCCTTCAAGTCATGCAAGAGGTGAAGGAACAAGTAGCAAGTGATGAAACAACATTGGCAAAAGAGGACAACCCATACTTCTGTCCAGGCATCATCACTATCCTCTTTCACACCTACCTTGGCATTTTTCCCCTTTGGAGTGGTGTACTGTTGACAGAGCTGAGAAGGAATGAATCTAAAGAACAGGATGTGGTGTCAGACAAACTACCCAAAACAAGAGATACCAACTGCCACGTTGGAAACTGGTTCGGAATTGTCAAACATTCCATATTGCACAAGGGAAAAAAGCTCAAGCCAGGAACCTTCATAAGAAAAATGCACCAATCTCTGCAAGCCAGGTATAAAGAACACATCATTCAGCACAAGCTTCCTCAAGAGATACTCTTCCAACCACAACCTCCTACGACTCTTGATCAGTCTCAAGAAACTTGGATGAAGGAGGAGGAACATGCTTCATCCACCAAATCCGAGTTTTATTCAGTCCCACAAAATATATCTGCTCCCAAAAAAAGACTGCTAAAGGTTGAGGCACAGACTGATGAAAGCGGCCCTCCTGTTAAGGTGCAGTGTGTAGAGAATGAGGTAATACATTCCAAGTCCCTAAGGTACAATGTTATTTACTGAATAACCTTGAAATCGTTACAGATCTTCAAACTATGGAAGCAGTCATCGACTCAGCTGATTGTGGCCATTGTGAGGTGTCCTAACCAGAAGTTGGAGTTCCTGTTACATCATCAGGATTTTCAATCATTGTTCCCACATGCGTGGATAACAGGAGAGGTGCACCGATCCCAAAAAATATTTTATTGCATAATTGGATAATTACATTTGCATGTAACAATGATGTTAAGGGGGCAACGCAGTGGCACAGTACATAGTGCTGTCGCCTCACAGCAAGAAGGTCGCTGGTTCGAGCCTTGGCTAGGTCAGCTGGCATTTCTATGTGGAGTTTGCATGTTCCCCCTGCGTTCGCGTGGGTTTCCCCTACAGTCCAAAGAGATGCGATACAGGTGAATTGGGTAGGCTAAATTGTCCGTAGTTTATGAGTGAGAACGGGTGTGTATGGATGTTTCCCAGAGATGGGTTGCAGCTGGAAGGGCATTCACTGCATAAACATGTGCTGGATAAGTTGGCAGTTCATTCCACTGTAGTGACCCTGGATTTATAAAGGGACTAAGCCGAAAACAAAAGAGTAATGATGTTATGAATTGATGTAAGCACCAAAATAATTTGAAAAATCACACTGTGTTATATTTTAGGCTATCGAGTGCTATATACGAGCTGTACTAAATATGAAGGGTGCCAACTTGTACCAGCTCAGCCATTATACAGCTGGGATTATTTTAAGTGGAAACGAGGACCAGATGGCATGCCAAGGGCTGAAAAAAGTGAGAGCAACCGCTTCTTATTACTAGGTTTGTACATGTATAGTATACATACATAATCATGTACCTTAATGCAAAACAGGTCAACTTTGAGCAATATGATGGGATCATCACGTTTACAAATATCAACAACCACCACTGGAGGTTTGTGGTAAGTAAAACACTACAACCAATATATATATATATATCATTGAAAATGTATAGAAATGAGTAATTGTAATGTTTGTTCCTTCAATATAGTTTTTACATGCTGAGACTGGCAGCCTTTTCATTCTTGACCCTCTAAGGGGTGTAAATGAACTGAAAGCCGCCCAAGATGCATGCCATAAGTTTGGGTATGACAGTTTATCAATAAATGACAGTAATTGTACATAAACATGTTGATGCCTGAGACCATCATGAACTGCTCTACATTTTCCCCAAAAACAGAGCTTATTTCCACACGAGAAGACAAAACTATGGAAGGCAAGACTTGGTGCACATAAAATGGAAACCGAGCACAATTGAGCATTCATTTCAGGAAGATGATTCCAGCTGTGGTGTCTTTATAATGCTGGTAAATAGAGCGTAAAGACTTTTATATAAGACTGTCCTTACCTTATTATTTTTTATATGATAATATCTCTGCTGTCCTTTTAGATGGCCAAACAGGTGGTGGAACAGTTCCCAAAAATCCCTGAAAACATTGACATCACACCCAGCAAGGAAATGATGTGCGAGTACAGAAAGAATTTGGCTGAAGTAATATTGCTGGCATCAGGTATAACAAACTTTGAAAGAACATTGTTCATTCATTCATTCATTTTCTTGTCGGCTTAGTCCCTTTTATTAATCTGGGGTCGCCACAGCGGAATGAACCGCCAACTTATCCAGCAAGTTTTTACGCAGCAGATGCCCATCCAGCCGCAACCCATCTCTGGGAAACATACACACACACACACTGCGAACAATTTAGCCTACCCAATTCACCTGTACCGCATGTCTTTGACTGTGGGGGAAACCGGAGTACCGGGAGGAAACCCACGCGAACGCAGGGAGAACATGCAAACTCCACACAGAAACGCCAACTGAGCCGAGGATCGACCCAGCGACCTTCTTGCTGTGAGGCCACTGCGCTGCCCCAAAGAACATTGTACCTCCTTTAAAACACTCAGTGATTATGATCCTATGTGAACCCTGGATGTAAGTGGACACTGGCAGGCTTTGCTGCCACTACACACGGGGTTACCTTATAATGTGGTTTTAATGAGCTATGGCTTTTTGGTTTTAATGTTTTACGGCTTGATTACCACACCAACCTATTGGATATTCATTGTCTCTCTGCGTCTAGCTTGGATTTGTATGCTGTCCTTCATTATCCTACCTGCTTGACCTGGTATAACAACTGCTTACAACCCCTCTGCTCGCGATGTGGGCTAGCGGTCCTCGTCGCTGGTTTTCATTTGTTTGGACTCTCCTAGCACTTGTCCACCAACCCTTGGCAGGCTTGCTACACCACACGGCTGCTGAGCTTCTCTGACTTTGTAGTCATCGGCAGTGCTCCATCTCCACCCGGACATCGATTGCCTAGATACATCTACCGTGGATCTCGCCGTAATTTCCAATGTGAAGATGATTCATTTATCTCAGCATATTAGCCATCCTAGCCAGGTCAGCTAATACTTCCCTTAACATTACATACAATAGCTCCTCCATCAAACTCGGTCTACTTAACATCTGCTCACTTACGAACAAGAATCATCTCACCCAGAATCTCCTCCTTGACCGCAAGTTTGACTTTGTGTTTAACTAACTTGGCAGCACCCTCATGACTTTTCACAATGATTCCACTCCACCTGGTTTTGTTTACATCTGTCAACCTTGCGGTTCTCGCAGAGGTGGTCTCGCAATAGTTTATCGCGAGAAGTGGAAAGTATTGCAGGTATTCACTCCTGTGTTTTCCTCATTTGAATCTGTGTGTAAACAGCCTGGACCAATTCCCACTATCATTGCCACTGTGTACCGTTTTCCTAAACTTCACAATGACTTCATTAATGACTTTGCTGCTTTACTTACACATGTTATTACTGTCATCAAATGTAATACATCTAGGGGAATTGAACATGCATATGGACAATATTAATCACTCTCTAACTAGAGAGGTTTCTTCATGTCAAGATAGCTTTGGACTCAGATACTCAGATTTCCCCACTCATACACAAGGTCATACTCTGGATTTAATATGTTGCTCTAGACTCATAACTTCCTGATACCGCAGTAATTGCAGACCTTATTTTGAAATCTAAATCGTCCACATGTCAGCTCAATCCTATTCCCACAGGTTTGGCTGATTCTTGCCTTTCATCTCTGCTTCACTTCTATATTGTCCATTATCCACTCCTCACTCACCACTGGAAGTGTTTCTTCTCATTTCAAAACTGCAGCTGTCACCCTTATTCTGGAAAAAAAAATGGTCTGGATCCCAATAATTTCGCCCCATTTCAAACTCTAGAAAAGAAAGATCCACACTTCACTCTTATCTCACTCATAATAACCTTTATGAACAATTTCAGTCTGGTCTCAGCACAGAAACTGCACTCATCTAAATCACAAATGATCTACGTAAGGCAGCTGATTCTGGACACATCAGTATTCTCATCCTACTCGATCTGAGTGCAGCTTTCGAAACAGTATCTCATTCCAACCTTCTCAATAGATTATCTTCCATCACTATTACTCTTGCTGTGAGGCAAACATGCTATCTACTGCATCACCATGCAGCCCTACTTAGCAACTTTTTTTTTTATATTTACTTTTTCGTAAATATAATTTCTACTTCCACTGCTATGTGGATGACATCCAGCTCTACCTCTCTAGCAAGCCCAACTCCCTACTCCCCCTTTCCATTCCCAATAATTGCCTTTCTGAAATAAAATGCTGGTTTACTTCACATTTCTTAAAACTTGACAGTGATAAAACTGAAATTGTTTTTGTTGGCACCAAATCTACACACTCTAAAGCCTGGTTTATACTTCTGCGTCAAGTGACCGGAGGGAAGAGAGGGTTTCGCAAGTCTCCCGGATGCCCGCAAACGAGTGATAATCTCCCGGTAATCTCGCGTCTCCCTCCCAGTCCTCAAATAGGCTACGTCGCGCACCCTTCTCACCCCTCCCCACCGCCTCTCCTCACTCTTCAGACATGTCGCACGCACCTTGTCAAACACCACCAAACCACCACCTCTCCTGACAACTGAGCGGGACTCTGCAAAATAAACCCTGACACTGACCAATGTAAGGAGAGTTTTCTTACATGTGACTTGTTTTAGCTATTTTGGTCTGTTTAGAAACTTTGCAGTATGAAAGCGAACCGCACCAAGAGCAAAGAGCAACAATGTAACAATTGTAATCTCTGTTTCGGAACAACTGAATCGATTCACAGGTGTGAAAGCACCCTAAGTGTATATACACACACGTTGTACAGTGACCTTGGGTTTCTTAAAAAGGCGCTTTAAATAAAATGCATTTTTCTTTCTAACTATCATAGTGTCAACGGCGGAGTGCTGCTCTGTGTGCGGAAAACACAATGACCAAAGTCAAGATGAATGCATCTGGGTAATGACTACACCAGTTTTGGTTGTTGAGTAGCATATAGGTGTTTAATTAAAAAGCGTTTTTATTTGGTAAATTTTGTAATTCCAACAATTTAGAAACAAATGTGTCTACATTATTTTATTTTTCAGATCCAATGCAAAGTATGCCAGAGATGGTTTCATCTTTACTGCCTCAGGATGATTCTGCCACCAGAAGAACAACCATGGATTTGTGAATTGTGTTTGTAAGCTATTCAATCTCTATTGACTATTTGGTGTAATATGCGAATAGTTACTCGTTTTGCTGCACTTACTGCAACAGATTGAACGTTTGGAATTAAAAGTTGAAACAAAGTTAAAATGATTAACTTACATGCTGTCATGTATATTGGAAACTTTAGATAGAAGTTATCTGTTATGATACTTGTTATAGATTTGACTATTTTTGTTAGTCTAGAACCTTAATGCTTTGCATAGAATCACTCGAGTTCACGCTATTTTCAAAGCCTTATTTGCAACTACAAATCAATATGTAATGTTTTTTTTTGGTCATTTATAGGCTGGTTTAGTGTTTGAAATTTAAAAAAAAAAAAAAAATGTCTGAGGTGCAGGGGATGTTGTGTTGTTTGTTGAAAATGTTTTGTGTACATATGGATGGTTCGTTGGCCAATAAATTGTTCTTCTTTAAACACAAATGACTTAGTTATTTTAGTGTTAATTTTGTGCCCATGATGTCATATGCTCCAATATTGTAATGTGAAGTGGACTCTGACAAAAGAAATGCGGATCCAAACACAGGTTTGAGTATGGTCAGGCAAGCAAGAGCCAACTCAGGGGCAAACAGATGTATACAGGCAATCCAAAGTCATGGTCAATAAACAGGTGGATGGTCAAAAGGCTGCAGGCAAGCAGCATAAACAAAACAAAGCGAGGGTCAGAAACAAGACTTAGCACAGATGTTCTTCTTTGTTGTTTTATGGCAGTCGGCAACAAACATTAAGGTGCATTACCGCCACCTCCTATACTAGAGTGTGAGCCGGAGTTAACTACCTCTCAAAAAAAAAATAAAAAAATTTATAATTCTTTTTTTATTTTTTATTGTTAATTAGTCCTGTTCTATTTAGATAGTTTAATAAGCTTTCATCATGGCCTCATCAAGTATAATTTTAATGCCAAGTTTTGCTTCATAATTTCTTTCTTTAATATTTCTCTTTTACTATAATGAATTTTTGACAGTAACAAAAAAAATTGTTCCTTTTCCTGACAATGATCACATAAGCCAGTTGGATTTTTTCCTATGAAATATGATGTTTCATTTAAACCGGTGTGTCCTATTCCCCATCGTGTTATTATGCCTTCTGTTTTATAATTCCTTTACCTATGCTCCAATTACCCATTGTATCCCTTTTCCAAATATATTTCCATTGTTTTAATATATTACTCTTAACTATAACATTTGCTTCTGATTTAATGAATATGATATTTCATAACTTCATCTAGCTTGAGCAGAGATGTGTGTGTGTGGGTGCTCTCTTTATAGTCCATGTAATCAGTTCATGAGCGGCCTCAGCTGTGAGCGTTTGAAATCAGACAGGATCTAGGCCAGGTGTGAGTAGTGCATGACTGGATCTTGTAGTCCTTGTAAGAGCGGATTTGTAGTTCGTTGGCGAACTGTGTTTACCAGCAATCTGCACGGGCTGGATCACTGATGATCATGACAAATATATTATTAAGTCTACATGTAAATATTCATGGCATCATAATCGCACATTCACTATATTAAATTTAACCTAAACAAAAACACAATGTAAAATTAACAAAACCTATAATTAAAAAACAAACAGGTGGCAATAAGCCACAATAATGTTTATTTATGGCTAGTTAGTATAAAAGTGTTTAGTTTAACAGTTGCTTGTCATTAACAGTCGCTGTCAGACATTATCAAAAGAAATGAATCCGGGAAAAGGTAAAAAAAAAAGGAATTAGTAGCATTACTCAGGCATTTAAACATTGTATTTGCGCATAAGCTACATTATTTACCCAAAACAATTCAAATTCTGATTCAAACATCTCAGGACAGCTATATATTCGGTAAAGAATTTTCCATGAGAAAATAGCAGGACAAGTTTTTACTTTCTCTGCATGATTAATACAGCGTGTAAACCAGCTGAAATGCGTGTCTCACCATAGGGTCAATTTAACTATCATAATCCATATGTAGGGGCATGGCGTTTTAACGAATGCGGCTAACCTGAAGGTGAGGGAAAAATGTGAAAATGCTCAATATAAAAATTATGTTTACCTTACAATCCTGCTTGTTGCGAGCTTCGTGACTTCTGACGTTGTGATGAATCCAGAAAGTTCCATGAAAAATTAATAAACCGGTTGGGTCAAAATAACCCAACTCAGATGTTCAAAGTTGAGAGAAAATTTTTTGCCCTTTCAGTTGGGTTGACCAAGTATGGGCCCAACCAGGGGCGGACTGGCCATCTGGCAATTTTGGCAAATGCCAGAAGGGCCGGATCATTTTTTGAATGTGGGTCGGTCAGCTTTTTTAAAAAAAAATTTATATGTATTGTTTTTTAAATTCAGGCAGCTTTTATCTCTTGCGAGATGTGAATATTAGGATAATTATGTTGATAATAGCAAGAATAATAATAAATGTTAAGCATTGGCCCAATCGGCAACGACCGGCTGGTTTCGAGATGGGCTGACCCAATCTGAGGTTATGCAGACGTAATCAAAATCTGGCAAGAATGTCAACAAACAGTAAGTGCAACACAAGCTAATTGTCAGAGATAGACCATAAAAAGAGAAAAGCAGTCAAGTCAGACATTGCCAAATACATAAAATTAACTGAACTAGTCTCAAAAGGGGGCAGTGCAGTGGCACAGTAGGTAGTGCTGTCGCCTCACAGCAAGAAGGTTGCTGGTTCGAGCCTCATCTGGGTCAGTTGGTGTTTCTGTGTGGAGTTTGCATGTTCACGTGGGTTTCCAAACACATGCTATAGGTGAATTGGGTAGGCCAATTGGGAATTGGGTAACCCAGCAATGGGTTGCAGCTTTGAGGGCATCCGCTGTGTAAAACATATGGTGGATAAGTTGGTGATTCCCAGAATAATAATGGGACTAAGCCAAAAAGAAAATGAATGACATGATTGCATATATAAATGGGTTGTTTTTTGTTACAGTCACATACATTAAATGTTTAAATATCTTTTAAATAGGTAAAGCTTATATAAGTTTACCAAATTAAAGTAGTGAATGTGCCGTTGTGGTATTGTGGGCTGGTGTGGCTAAAGTGCCAGGGCTGATTTTTTGTCCCAGTCCGTCCCTGGGCCCAACTATGCGTTTGCAGTAACCCAGACAACGCAGCAGTTTTAATCAAGCTTAACTAACCCAAAAATGTGTTTACAGATTTAATCCTGCATATATTTGTACAGCTTTCTCTTTATATTTTATCACATTTTTTAGGGTCCTTGCTAAACTGGTAGAAGATAAACCTAATACCTGGGACCAGTACTTAGATGCTGCTATGTTTGGCCTAAGGACAAAGTAGCAGCTGACCACACAGTTCCCCCCATTTTATAATGTTTGGAAGAGAAGCATGCTATCCATGTGAAGTCCCTGAAAATTTTGAGGTGTTTTGCTGTAAATTTTCTAAATTATTTTATATCAATGCTATGTATAGCTAAATTATTTATTACTATTTTCCACAGCTTGATGGTTCCTTTGAAAATGATTTCAGTGAAGATGTTGCCATTGGCATTGGATGTCATGACAAAATGATGAACATTGCTCAAGACAATGTCAACAAATCAATTGCAAGAACTAAGAGAAGGCTGTAACAGAAGGCACAATTCAGCCAGCAAAGTTGGAAAACTAGATC